AACTCTTAAGATCTTCTGGGGAGGCCCTGCTCTCAGTCCCGCCTTCCTCGCAGATGCATTTGGCGGGGACGAGAGATAGGGCCTTCTCAGTGCTGGCCCCTTGACTGTGAAATGCCCTGCCTACCTCCTGGCTTTTTGAAGAAAGGTGAGCAGGCCTTCCCAAATACGGCATAGTTATACGAAATCATGGAACCACTTGATGACTTTACATGGAGACGCTCACGATAATGTTTTAAAGGCTTTATGGTTTTTTATATTATTATATTGTAGGCTAATGTTTTTAACAGTATTTTATGACTGTTTTATTTGTTATAATTGTTGAGGCATCAAATTGTTGCCAATTGTGAACTGCTCGGAGTCGCCTCTGGGCTGAAAGGGGCAATATATAAATGTGGTAAATATATAAATATTTCAGCCCATTGTACCTGCCTTAGACATTCAACCTCCAAACTTCATTCAGAACAGGCAAAACATCTCAATACGGATCTCCTTCCATACCCCAGATGTGTTGCTTGTTTCCAATCAGATCAAATTTCCACAAAAGGTATGAAACTCCACAACAGAGAGAAGACACTGCTTTTCCTTCTCCTTTTCTCTCTTCCGCTCAAAAATAAATAAATCCTCCTTTTCCCTCATGCTGTGACCGCAAGGCAAGGCACTAAACTCTGCTTTTATAGTAACATTCCTTGTATGTCTCTCTAAATACATATACCGTAATTACTTTTCACTGTAGATTTATGGCCGGGCTTTAGCAGTCATTATTAGGTTTGCTTGCTGTTTTGAATGACATCCGAGCGTTTATGGGATTTGATTCCTTCTCGGTCATTTTTTTTTTTTTGAAATTCAAACAAAAATGCCTTCCTGCCCTGAGCTGCATTTGGGGGGTTTGGGCAAAACTGAGTGCCGAGTGGGAGGAAGTCTCTGTCTATCTGCAGCAAGCCCTGAGATAGATCACACCATGGAGGCAAACCTTCATAACCAAAGGAGTGCAGAAGCTCAAGTCATAACAAAGCAGAAAGGCAGAAATATCCTTGATGGAGCCATCCCAGCCTAATGGGATATTCTAATATATGGTATACCATCCATCCATCCTCCCTTGTGATTTTGTTTTCTATGGACCATTGATCCCAATGGCCTATTGCATTAATCACATTTTAAGAATCCTTGCTTGACTGCAATCCACGTCATCAGGTGCATGAAATGTTCTGCAGGATTACAAGTAGCCGGTTTGCAGGGCTCCTTGGTTTACCCAGGACCAGGATGTTTGTGTCATCAGCAATATGAATAGCCAACCTTAATCATTCCAGCATTTTCTGCATCTAATTTCCCTCTGATCTTACCACCTCATCACATTCATTCAATATTACTGAGCCACCCACTTAAGAAACGGCAACCTCCTGTGTTGTTCATCACATGACATAGGCTTCAAGTGTAGCCCCTTGGAGAAAAAGCTCCAGCATTAGTATGTTATGTTCCTTTCTGTCTCTCTCATGCACTTTCTGGGGGCTTTCTATGCCTCCTTCATTCCTTCCCTCCCTCCTTCTTCTCTTCTTCTATGTGCCATGTGTTACCTCCTCCTCCTCCTCCTCTCCTTCCTTCCTTCTTTCCCTAATTCCATGTGTTGTGTGTGCCATGTGTTACCTCCTCCTCCTCTTTCTTACTTTCCTTCCTACCTACCTTCCTTCCGTGTGTTGTGTGTGCCATGTGTTACCTCCTCCTTTCTTTCCTTCCTTCCTTCCTTCCTTCCTTCCTTCCTTCCTTCCTTCCTTCCTTCCTTCCTTCCTTCCGTGTGTAGTGTGTGCCATATGATAACTCCCCTCACCTTTTTCCTTCCTTCTTTCCTTCCGTGTGTTGTGTGTACCATGTGTTACCTCCTCCTCTCCTTTTTTCCTTCCTTCCTTCCTTCCTTCCTTCCTTCCTTCCTTCCTTCTTCCTTTCCTTCCTTCCTGTCCCTCCTTCTTTCCTTCTCTTCCTTCCCTTCGTTCCCTCCTCCCTTCCCTTCCTCTTTCCTTCCTTTCCTCCCTCCCTCCCTTCCATGTGTTGTGTGTGTCATGTTACCCCTCCTCCCCTTTTTTCCTTCCTTCCTTCTTTCCTTCTGTGTGTAGTGTGTGCCATATGATACTGATACCTCTCCTCTCCTTTCCTTCCTTCTTTCCTTCTGTGTGTTGTGTGTGCCATATGATACTGATACCTCTCCTCTCCTTTCCTTCCTTCTTTCCTTCTGTGTGTTGTGTGTGCCATGTGTTCCCTTCTCCTCCCTCCCTCCCTTGTGTTGTGTGTGCCATGTGTTACCTCTTCCTCTCCCTTCCTTCCTTCCTTCCTTCCTTCCTTCCTTCCTTACTTTCCATGTTTGTGTGTGCCATGTGTTACCTCCTCCTCTCCTTCTTTCCTTCCTTATTTCTTTCTTTCCTTCCTTGCTTCCTTCTGTGTGTTGTGTGTGCCATGTGTTAGCTCCCCCAAACACCTCCTTCCTTCCTCCTTCTCTGGTTGACCCCAAGGGCCATCTAATCCAACCCCTTCTTTCTGCCATGTAGCAAAAGCATCATTAAATCACCACAGACAAATGGCCATCCTGCCTCTGAATAATAATAATAATAATAATAATAATAATAATAATAATAATAATAATAATACATTCCTAGCTTGCAAGTGTTATTTCCTGTTTAATTGTGCTCCTTTCCTTACTTTGAAAGTAGTAGTTGTGCTCCAGAAACTTCATTTTTGTGCCCCCCAAATGTATGTTACATTGGTGGAGACTCCACAAGATATATAATACTGATATTGTACTATGCTAATAATATAATATATTGCATGTATATATATCTTGTAAGCCGCTCTGAGTCCCCTTTGGAGTGAGAAGGGCAGCATATAAATAAGTAAATAAACAAAAACAAATATTCAATCATTGAGAAACTAGAGCAAAATGTGCTATGGCAGGATGTCCCTCCTGCAAAGACAAAGTTTTGGCAGTTTAATCAACGTTTCCCATGTGTTTATGATAGAACCAATTAGGAAATGATATTGATAACGCAGGAACAAAAATCATAGTCCAGGAGAGGAAGTGTTTCTTTTCACAAAGGAAATGGGTGGGAACAACTCTCTACAATGTGATGGCAAATCAACTGAGAACTCCGGAATAAAACCAATAGTTGCTAGTGTGTGATGGAGGTTTGGAAATCATCCATTTAATTTCAAAATGAAGTATGCCTGAGCTGCATGGTAAACCACTCTTCCAAACACTTGACACGTTCAGTGGGATGACATCTTTACTACCTCTAACCGTAGCTCTATGTACACAACCTTGGAAAGGTTAGCATGCGCACCAACATGGAGACATCACGTCATTAAAGATAATTTCCTTGTTGCTGTTAAAAGGTTAAGAGAAATTAATTTGTTAAGTTAGTTTACAAAAACTAATTATTCATCCCCCAAGATTGTACAGATTTAGTAAACAGGACGAAAATGGCCAAAGGCATCCAGTTAAATTACTGCAAAACACAGTTATTCGGAGGCCTAACAACATGGGTTTACTGATCGAAATAATGTTTTCTTTGTGACTGAGAATTTCACAAATTGCTAGTGAACAATTAATTTTAATTCATCCTTTCCAAGCTCTGCTGTGTATGCCCATTCACTTCTGGGTAACATGCCATCCATCGTACCAAACGTCATCCCTTTTTATAGATTGTGGGACACAGTCTATAAACACAACAGTGGAGAATGAATGAATGAATGAATGAATCTACAAGGAAGGGTCAAAAAGTAATGCCTCCATTGCTCTAACTTTTTTTTCTTTCCCTACTACTGGACTATCTCTGCATGATAGGATAGAGGGAACATTACTCTTTTGTTAAGAGTATTTTCCTATTCTGATTGACTGATTAAAACCATGAATTCGAAGCTACGAGGGTTAAATGAAAAGTTATGCCTCCATCTTGGTTACTTTGGTTTAGATGGGAATATTTTAATAAATGCAGAAGTCATCCTTAGAATGTGCTCTTTAACTACCGGTATTCACTTTTCCACATAATCACCAGACAATTGGATACATTTCTGCCAACTATGAACAAGTTTTCTGAAGCCGTCACCGAAGAAGTCGACATTCTGTTTCCGCAACCAGCATCTCACAGTTCTCTCAACATCTTCATCAGAAGCATCATGATGTCCCCGCAGATCTTCTTTCATTATCGGGAACAGATGGAAGTCAGGTGGTGCTAAATCTGGACTGTATGGAGGATGTCATACCGGGGTGAGATCCAGTCTCTGAAGTTTCAAGTCTGTGCACTTTCATTTCAGGCATCAGCATGCTGGGTACCCATCATGCACAGATCTTCCGATAGCCAAGCAAAGCAATAATGTGACCCACATGTTCTTGTGAAATGCCAATTATGCTTGAAACTTCTCTCTGAGTCATATGACGATCATCCTGTATCAATCTGTCAACCTTTTGCTTGTGAAACTCAGTGGTTGCTGTCACAGGACGTCCAACTCTTTGTCACACAAGTCTGATGTTCCCACCTGAACATCTTTAAACTTACACACCCAACAACAGACAGTACTCACATCAACACAATCACCATAAACACCTTGCATTCTCTGATGAATCTTCTTTAGAATGACACCTGTTGTCACAAATTCAATGACTGCACGTTGCTTAAATCACATTGACCGACCGTCTGTGCAGGGTTCCATACTTCGCCCTTTAACAACACAACTGTTCAATGCTAAGGCTTCCTACCAAAATGAAACTGTAGAGGAGAGTCTACTGAACAAGTCAGTACCTGCTGCATATCATTACTGCCATCTGTTGAGTTACGAAGGTGGAGGCATTACTTTTCATTCAACACTCGTATTCTAAACTACGAACATGTCTGAGCCAACAAAAACCCAAGTTAAAAGAATATGCTGGGAACTGAGCCTAGGATATTTCCAGTGTTTGTCTCGGGAGCGTGTCTTGCACCCTCCACCCCTCACCAAATTCATAGAACGAGACCATATACCTTGTGGTTCTGGTAGGATGTCACTGATATGAAAGACGTCTCTGGAAACACGTGTGTGCAGAACGCTGTGTTCTTGGAGCCAAACGCATTGTTTTCGTCTGCTTTCACAATGTGTAGCCTCGGCTGGTACTTGTGCATCGAATTGAGAATGATCTGGAAGGAAAACAGCAGAGGATGAGCAAGATGCCCGGCTTGTCCAAACAGCCATCGTCCACAGAGGACAGGAAACCAATTTGGTATTCTGAAAACACTTCTGAAATTCTGCTCTTTTGTGCATTGCCATATCTTTGTTCCTAACACTTCAAAGAGATAACCCGGTATATCAGTCTAACAACTAAGAAGCCTACTTTACTTTGGATTTAAGCTAGAGGATAATTACCACTAAGGAGAAAATTCACTCAAATGCGTAGACTTAATGTCAAGGAGAAAACTTTACCTTTAATGGGATTGGCTGCAATACAAAATCCCAGAGGGCTATGAATACACAGTGAGAAAGCATGTCTCTGGAAGAATACATCAGGAAAAGGCTCCAGTGCATGATGCCCATGAACTCTTTGAGAAACAAGAGGCTCAGTAAGCTAGAAATAATAACCACTATGAGAAGTTGTCATCCCAAGGAAAACAGAAGGGATTTTCTTTTTATATATAGTAAGTATATAAAATGCTGAACCCATATTCACATCTGGAAACTGTGGATAATAGCCAACCCTAATTACATTTATGACATCTGCTGATAGTTGCAATTGAGTTGCCTTGGAGAACATAGAAAATCCCTAGAGTGGCATCCTGTGGAAACTTATCATAGAATGACGTGGAGAACCTAGAAAGTTCCTCGAGATAATATATGTTGTTGGATGCTGTGCTAAAGTCAGGATTATGGTTTCAAAAACAGAGAATCAAGACATGTGGAAGAGATTGCTTCAGATTTAACAAGTGGGTCCAAGAGCCTGAACTCCCTCTAGGATCCAAGATGAGTAAGCTGAGAGTGTTGGACTTTGGACACATCACCAGAAGACACGAGTCCCTAGAAAAGACAGAATGTTTTGTGGAGGTGGAAGGCAGTTTGAAAAGAGGAAGACGCCATTCCAGATGGAAAGACTCCATCAAGAGAACCACATCTGCCCTGAGTCCATTAGACTTGAGCGAGACTACTGGTGGTAGGATTGCCATAAGTCAAAGTCAACTTGAAAGTCAACAATGTTGCAGGTGGCGCTGACCTGAAGATTGGCAGTTTGAATCCGTGGGACAGGGTGAGCTCCTGCTGTTAGCCCTAGCTCCTGCCAACCTAGCAGTTTGAAAATACGCAAATGTGAGTAGATCAATAGGTACCACCTCGACGGGAAAAGGCAAAAAGATGCTCCATGCAGTCATGCCAGCCACAAAACCAGGAGGTGTCTATGGACAACGCAGGCTCCTTGGCTTGGAAATGGAGATGAGCACCTCTCCAAAGATGAGCACTGCCTCCAGGACCCGAAATGAAAGGAGAAGCTTTCGCCTATGTAGTTCTTTCATTGTATGTCACTGTAACAAGGCATTGAATGTTTGCTTCTGTTTATATGTTGTAATCTGCTCTGCGTCCCCTTGGAGAGAATAAAGTATTATTACTACTACTGTTACTACTACTGTCTTAAGGCTGTTGTCAAAGGCTTTCATGGCTGGGATCACTGGATTGTTGTGTGTTTTCCAGGCTGTATTGCCATGTTCCAGAAGCATTCTCTCCTGACGTTTTGCCTGCATCCATGGCAGGCATCCTCAGAGGTTGTGAGGTCTGTTGGAAACTAGGCAATGAGTTTGATGTTGTAATCTGCTCTGAGTCCCCTCAGGGAGAAGGGCGGAATATAAATAAAGCATCATTATTATTATTATTATTATTATTATTATTATTATTATTATTATAGAACCGACAGGTCGCAGGTTTGAATCCAGGGAGAGGCGGATTAGCTCCCTCTATCAGCTCCAGCTCCTCATGCGGGGACATGAGAGAAGCCTCCCACAAGGATGATAAAAATATCAATTCCTCCGGGTGTCCCCTGGGCAACGTCCTTGCAGACAGCCAATTCTCTCACATCAGAAGGGACTTGCAGTTTCTTAAGTCACTCCTGACACGACAAAAAAAAATTATCTTAAGACTGTGTTGTTGAAGGCTTTCATAGCCAGAATCACTTGGTTGTTGTGTGTTTCCCGGGCTGTATGGCCATGGTCCAGAAGCATTCTCTCCTGACCTTTCGCCTGCACCTATGGCAGGCATCCTCAGAGTATGCCTGCCATAGATGCAGGAGAAAGGTCAGGAGAGAATGCTTCCAGAACATGGCCATATAGCCTGGAAATCACACAACAACCCAAATATCTTAATATTAGTTGCCATTTTGAGATAATATTCCCATTTAAAATGTGTGACTTCAAGGAACTGCAGACCCAATGGTATTAGAAGAGGGTGGAGTGGAAGTGGATAATAGAAAATGATGGATTTCCCTGTTCCAACATGGCATGTTCCTGGGCTGTGGTAAGCAATTAGTTCACTGTAGCTTCACAAACTACTGTTTATTACCTGGAGTCCCCCTTGGGTACATTTTTAAATTATTATTATTATAGATGATGATTATTTCTGCAGGAAGAGAAAGAGAACGCGAACCCACAGCCAAACTGGAGAGATGGGCCTGCAATCTGACCCAGACCTTCTGCTCCTCCACTTCCCCTTAAGCCTTGATCCCGGCCTTGATATTGATGGAGAGCAGCCCCAGACCGATGGGGGGAGGATGGGGCACAGAAGCCCATTCTTCCCTCCACGGACAAGACTTCGGCCCCATTACGGTAGGATCGGTGCTTTCAAGGCCCTTTTCATCCCAGCGCATATAACTCTACCCACAGTAGCCAGCTGCATCATATACCATTTAAATGTAGTTTTTATGGATGACATTTTCCAGAGCTGCCTCTCTTCCCCCCACAACCTCCCTCCCAAAGGAGGAATGGGAAACTGTGGCATTTTATCAGGGGTTCGGGTTTAACTGTTTGGGTGCTGTCTGGCTTAGAGGGATTTTGGCTGTGGAGTTTGGGGAAAGGGGATGTTGTGGAGGCACGTATTCAAGCAGTGCTTCTCCACCTTCCTGATGTTGCGACCCCTTAACACAGTTCCTCATGTTGTGGTGACCCCCAACCATATCATTGCGACTTCGTTACTGTAATTTTGCTACTGTTATGGGTCGTGATGTAAATATCTGAAATGCAGGATGTATTTTCATTCACTGGACCAAATCTGGCACAAATACCCAATACGCCCAAATTTGAATATATGTGGAGTTCGGGAAAATAGACCTAGACATTTGAATACTGGTGGGATTAGGAGGGATTGATTTTGTCATTTGGGAGTTGTAGTTGCTGGGATTTATAGTTCACTTCCAATCAAAGAGCATTCTGAACTCCACCAATGTTGGAATTGAACCAAACTTGACATACAAAACTGACGACAGAAAATACTGGAAGGGTTTGGTGGGCATTGACCTTGAGTTTGGAGTTGTAGTTCACCTACATCCAGAGAGCACTGTGGATTCAATGATGATCTGGGCCAAACTTGGCACGAATACTCAATATGCCCAAAGGAGAACACTGATGGAGTTTGGGGAAAATAGATCTTGACATTTGGGGGTTGCTGGGATTTATAGTTCACTTGCAATCAAATAGCATTTAGAACTCCACCAATATTGGAATTGAACCAAACTTGGTACACAAAACTCCCAACAGAAAATACTGGAAAGGTTTGGTTGGCATTGACCTTGAGTTTGGAGTTGTAGTTTACCTACATCCAGAGAGCACGGTGGATTCAATAATGATCTGGACCAAATTTGGCATGAATACTCAATATGCCCAAATTAGGACACTGGTGGAGTTTGGGGAAAATAGATCTTGACATTTGGGAGTTGTAGTTGCTGGGATTTATAGTTCACCTACAATCAAAGAGCATTCTGAACCCCACGAATGACAGTATTGGGCCAGACTTCCCACACAGAGCCCTCAACACCAACAGAATAAATAAGAATAAATCAAATAAATCAAAGAATAAATAAAAATACAGACCTCACTACCTCTGAGGATGCTTACCATAGATGCAGGCGAAACGTCAGGAGAGAATGCCTCTAGAACATGGCCACATAGCCCAAAAAAACCAGTGATTCCGGCCATGAAAGCCTTCGACAATACAAAAATACTGTGTTTTCTGATGGTCTTTGGTGACCCCTCTGACACCCCCTTGCAACCCCTTCCCCAGGGGTCCCAACCCCCAGGCTGAGAAACGCTGTATTAAAGCACCTTTCTCTTTCTTTGGCTGTTTGCTGTGGGGAAAATGGGCCTTCTGAAAATGCCTCCCCAAACTGTGCAAATGTTTGGAGTTTGGCAATTGAAACATGAAGGCTGAATTCGTTCACATGGATGACTATTGTTCTACTTATGAGCCTGTTTTATGAGAGGTTTTTAAAATGAAATTTTCAAGTTGCATAGTTTTCCTTAAGTGATCGATAGGCTTTGAAAGCAAACACTGCAGAAGACAAGAAGTATTCTTGAGGGTCAATCACTTAGCAAAAATTTTGGCACTAGAGGCTTTGAAGCTGCAAGGCCATTAAATGCTAATCAAGGTGGCCAATTACAATATTGCACCTGCCTCAAGAAGACAAGAGTTCTTTCTCCCACCCTGGACATCATTCCACAGATATATAAACCCCACTTGCCTAGTGTCCAACAGACCTCACAACCTCTGAGGGTGCCTGCGAAACGTTAGGAGAGAAAGCTACTGGAACATGGCCAGACAGCCTGGAAATCTCACAGCAACCCGATGATTCTGGCCATGAAAGCCTTCGACAACAATATGTTTGTCTGTTCATGCATGCTTGGTAAGGGATTTGGGGGCAGCTGCTGTTTGCCTATCCTGCTGTAGACAGCAGCAAATAACACTGGGACCAAATAAAGGAAAACCCTAGTCTTTACTAGCTGTATCTTGATTGCAGACTCAATGCCACAATTCAGTTTACTCCTTCAGCTAAACAACTTCCAACTAAACAGAGGATGAGAAAGGAAAGGTGAGCTGTAAAAACACTTTGTAAAACAGAGCTTTTTGTCATAGGGTTTATCTCCGTATGTGCGCTGGCACAATGGGTTAAACCCTT